CCCTGTTGTTGTTTAACAGCAGTTGAACTGAGTTGGTTTTAAGAGGGGATATTTCTGTGCAAGTCTTTGGATGTCATTTCCTCTCTTACAGGCTAAAGCAAGGGCAAATTCCTGGCCCTGTTGAAGCCAGGGGGAGGAGATTTGTTGATGAGCTCCAAGGGAGTGGAACTCACCCCAAACATCATTCTTGATAATCCAGAAGAATCAGCGGGCAGTTGTGTGTTAGCTGAAGTCTGCTTTGCCTGATGCTCTCCTAAGACAATTGTCAAGTAATTTATAAATGTGAAAATCCTTATTGGTGTGGATAAGGTGTAGTGCAAGGTGTATTGTTAACGCCACTCAACTAGAGATGTCTGCCTCGGCCAGTGGAGAGAGACAGGCTCTTTGTGAACGCATGAGGCCACTAATTCGCCCTGTGGAGGACATCATCTCCATCCATTGCCAGAGCCCCAGGGCAGATACAGCCCACTGAGCTGCAGAAATTGAATACCTGCTCTAAGGGGTAGCAATGCTTGCCCAGTGGCAGGGAGAGACACAGCTGGATTCCCAGGTGGTTTGGGGTTGACTGAAAGTGCAATCCAAGCAATTTAAAGCCTGGGAATTACCAGAAGAAGCTATTACAGGCCTTCATATTGTTAATTTGATTTTTTCTGACCAGAACCACTCTATAAGCCTAGCAAATCCTGGTGATGATGATTCAAATTTCTGTTGTTAGTGCCAACATGTAGAGACACAAGAGACTGTAAGGAAGAGAGCAAATACTGAGATAGTGTAATGGAGCGTAAACCACTTGCATGTTTTGTTTTGTTTTTTTTAATTCTTGAAAAGAATTAGAAAAGAATGGCAAATCTACCAGAAGTGGGACAAAACCACAGGGGCCTTTGTCTGTGGATTAAGCATTTTGAAGAATTAGTAAGAATAAAAGTTTTCCTGCAAAAATCACTATTTTCTATACTTCAGGACAAAGCTACCTAGGGAATTTGCTCAGACTCCCAGGTTTTCTTATTTGGACTTTATGATTTCAGAGGACTTGCTTTGCAAGCTCTGCATCCTAGGGAAGGAAATTAAGGTCAGATATAAGGAAAACCCACCAAATGGCCTGAAATAGTTTTAATTTCTGAAAGACCATCCCATGTGGGAATTATAGATTTAAAAGTGGGTGGAACCTCTAAGCCTGGAGTTGTATCAAGTTATTCATGAAAAGTCTCTGAGATCTTTGTGTAGACCAAGACATTTGGGTGGTGCTTTCTCACTTTTTCTTGAGAAAAGTCATTGTGGCCTGACAAACTGAAAACTACCCCTGCTTTTTCAGGTCTTGAAAACCTGTCTCAATAGTAATGGAGGAGTCAAAAGAAGCATGTTATATTCATGTGGTTTCATACAGTGTAGCTATGCTAACACAGTTCATTGCGTCTGAGGTTATAGGAAAGATGCAAAAGAATCCATGAAATGATGCCTGAATCTAATGGTAAATCCCCATTGAATGAGGAAGAGATCTGTTGTCCAGGTATCCTATTACTGATGGGGTCTTTTTGTCTTTTGACAGAATATGAATAAATTCATGCCCTTTGGGAAAGTTGCATTATTGGTATTGATGTTGATGTTATTGATATGCAAATGCATATCTATTTCTGATATGAAGTCTATTGTGCTTTGAATTAAAATGGCTCTAAACATTCTTACAATGTATTGCAATTAAATATCCATAATTTGTTGAATTAAAAGTTTTATTTTTGTTTCTGGTAGATATCTGAAGGATGATAATCAAATTTGGAAGCAATGAGATCTCTATTTTATTACCTCAATTTAAAAAAAAAATCACTCATATTTCTAAAACTCGATGACTGTTTTTTTGTTACTGTTGTGATATCTGATTTTTTAGGCCTTTTTCTTCTTCCTGGACACTGTGTGCATGATTATGTTTCCATTTCTTAGGAAAAGATACTGAATCTACAGGTGTTTGTACCACATGTAATATACAAAAAATAATAAATACGTATGTATGTAATATACAGCTGCCACAATGGAGCAATTCCCTATGTGCCAGACTCTAAAGTGCAAGTGGTTAGTTTATAGCCCTCTTTAGGTTACAGCATTTTAACATTTCTTCAGTGTTTATTTATTCTCTTCCCAAAGAATGTTCTGAAATATTGAGTTTACAACCTGTGGCTCATGTGATGGTAGTGGAAACAATTAAGCCAGAAGCTTTCAAAGCTACCACTGGGATTTTGATGCCCAAGCTCATTAATTTTAATAAGAAATGAGCTGCCAGTCCTCTTAAGTGGTTTCTAAAATCTCAGCCCATAAAATCACCTCTCTACTGGTTCCAGTTTACTAGGAGTTCAGAGCAAGGTAAACATGTGTAACAAAAAAATAGGTGTTAAAAGGTGGAAATTACGTGTTCAGATGTCTCTGAGAGCATTCAAGGAACCAAGTGGCAGCCCCAGCCTTGAGCTGGCAGATGTGGACTGAAATGGGGGCTACTCCTACCTTCAGTGTCTCAGGAATTACTGAGACAACACCTCTGCTGAGTGGTCAGAACATAAGGCCCAATTCTGGCAAGATGGAGAAGAAATTTCAGTGGAAACAGAAATCTTGCAACAGCGCATTTTCAGTTGGGAGCATCACGCTGCATGTCAACCTCAGATTCTTGCATCAGCTCTTTACTCTCACCTTCCTAACGTGCTTCTGCTGACCGTAGCCTTGTGGCTGGGGTAGGGCTGTTCTCTCTGATGTGCAGATGGACAGCCAGGTTCCAGGAAGATGTGGGCAAGATCACACCACACAGTGCAGCGAAGTGCGGAAGTACCTGCAGTAGTGCCACTGTAAGCTGTCTTTGGGCAGTAGCATCCAGCCTGTATTCCCCTTGCTTTGACATAAGTGCAGAAGGCGATAAGGCCAGGGTTTTTTTGCTGCCATTACAGTTACCTACATTGCGTTTGTAGGGGGTTGATCTGGTTTCTTCCTGTCTCCCTAAACCTTCATAACCAAGGTTGCACTGTGGTATCTGCCAGGCCACTAAATGGCCACATTTGCATATTGATAATTCACTGATCTACCAGCGTGGCTGACTGAAAATTAACAGCTGTCCATTGTGGCCTCAGGGACCTGTTCATCGAAAATCCACAAGAGCCTTTCCATGTACATGAGCCTGGAGATGGCTTTGCTTCAGCCATAAGCGGAGGGGTTGTCCTCTGTCTCCCATAGCCTGCAAAGAACTGTTGAAAGCTTTGGAGAGCTCCAGGATCTCTCAAAGAAAGCTCCTGCACTGATGAAACTCATCCTTAGCATGAATGATGGAGCAAAGTCTTACTAAGAAAAAATATCTAGAACCAGTAGGTCTCTGTGGTATGAAATAAAGCATGGAAAGAGTATGTGTGTTAGCAACTGACTCACTGACTGTCTGGATGCTTGGGCAAAGAGGAAAAATATTCTTTTTTCTTTTTTTAATGAAAGCAACCTTGGAGAATTTTAGAATTAGTTTAAACAAGTGTCTTTGCTTTTCGTATCTGTCTTATGATCTCTGAATTAGTGTTGGCTAGGACAACGTTTCAGTAGTTTTTGCCAGTGAGTCTCATGGTAGTGACAGTTAATAAGTTAATACTCAGTAGCTACTGGAAGAACCCTTAGGTAAAACATCAGGCAGTGGAAACAGAGATGACCATCTTGAGTACTATTGTAATGGACTTCAAAAAAATCAAAAAGAAAAAAAGCTGCCATTAATAGTAGATGTGACTTTTTTTGGAAGAGAACAAAATGTTCCATAAATGAAACATGTGGTTTCACTTGCAGCACATTTTGTACATTGTCACCAATGAAGTTTAGGATTTTTTATTACTTTTTCATTAAAATGTCTTACTGGTTTCACTCAGGAGGCAAAACTTTTCACGTGGCTTTAATTGTTTCTGTCATAAAAGTCATAGCATCCATGTAATAGAAATAGTTTTGCAGACCACAGCTTTACATTGACTATTAATTTTCTTTCATTTGCTCTACCTACAACTCATTGGGCCATTCCAGAGACAGAAAAAGTTCCTCTCTTGCAATTAAGATAAGATTCAAAGTCACACCAAACAGGAATTTATCCTAAAGTTAGGGAAAAAAGGTCACTTTGTGTCAGCACTGTTTTATTAGATTTTTGTTTGGGGTATCTCAGCACACAAATGTAAGGTGACAAGGCCACATATCAAATGAGAGAGTTTGTATTGCCTTTTTCCAAAATTAGTGAAACTCTAGAAGATGAAAATAATAAAAGGCCTTTTTCTGCAGAGTTCCAGTCAGATGCAAGAGAAGATAGTAGTATTTCAAACAGAAGGAGTGAAGAGCTCTGGAAATATTGTTTCAAGATGGCCCTGAACAGGTCATTTACCCCCTTTTTTGCCTCACTTCTCCATTAATCAAAACTACTGGAGTTTGAGTCTCAAACATATCATCTCAGCATCCTACCTATTAGACTATTCTTCTGTCATCATTCTGACCATCCCCATCGCTAGTCCTAACTCAGATGAACAAGCATAATTATTGTTACAGTCAAGAAGATTATGTGTTTTCCACAGAAGATAGCCAAAGATAAAAAACAAAAAAAGGAAACTTGTGTTATCCCATTAATTTATGTTCATCTTCAGTTAAGGTATTCATTAGCTGATAATCTGTTTTCCTTGGAGATAAACCCGATTTTACCTTTTAACGTTCAGCCCAAAATGTGAGGTGATTTTAACCACAACCAGCAGGCTTTAAGACCTGTGAGAAATAACTAAAATGCCAGGGCATTTAGGGCAATAGTGTATCATCTGCCTCTTCACCCTTTTTCAGTTTAGTGTCCACTTGATAGTTTGCTAAAAAACATCCCTGTTGTTTGGTCACTGCCCTCAAAGCCTTTCTCCTTATATGCCTTCTTAGAAGCTTGGAACACCCATCAAATAGCATAGTCCTCTATTTCCACCTTTTCTTAGCACAATGGATCATTTCTACATCAAATCTTTCAATGTTGTATTTTGCAGTTCAAGGACAGCAAAGATAAGCCCAGCCTTAGAGGGGTCTTCTGCAACCGCCCTACCTGCTGTCCAGTTTTCTGAGCAGGTCCCACTCACATCTCCTTCCCTGAAGCCCCTGCAGATGGATGAAGAAGACAGCCTGTCTCCTCACCTTCTGCTACCAGACAGCATCAGCCAGCTGGAAGAGTTTGGCAGGCAGAAGAAATGGCACAAGAAGCAGCACAAACACCATCGCCAGAGGCAGTTCAATGACCTCTGGGTTCGGATAGAACACAGGTGAGTCATAATTTTCATGGCTTCTCTCCTCCTCTTCCTGCTATCTCATGACTAGTTGCTCTTTACAGCTCCCAGCTCTTGTTAATTAGACGAGGAGGAAAGCTGGAGCAAGGCTGAATGGGAGAGACAGGGAGTGAGGTAATGTTTTTGGATTATAAGGAAGAACTAGGAGGAAGCCTGTTAGACAAATCTGACTCAACAGAAAAGAGGAAGAAAGCTAATGCTGAGAATATTTAAAATATATAGACGAAGGGAGGTGGCAGAGTGAAAACAGGAAAAAATGCTAAGGGAAAATATTCCGTGTTTGCCTTCTTTCTTCCAAAAATTATTTTCTGATCTTTACTGTCAGTCCTCAGGCCAAAGGCCTGTTTTTCCAACCATTTAGAATACTTCTGTGAGTTCTTCAGATTCTGGTATATCTGACTTGTATCTTCCTACCTGTATTCTGACGTTGACATTTTCTAACATCTCAGACAGCCACAGTGCCTTGAAAACAGCAGTCAAATTGAGGCATTCTGAGTATAACATTTGTGTGTGTGTATATATATCTTTCTGTCTGTCTGTCTGTCTCTCTAACTAGATCTATATCTTGCTATAGCAGGATTAGGGCATGTCACATGTAAGAATCAGAGTACACCCTGGAGAAGGGAAATACTCAATACTGTATGTTACACTTGGGAAGCTGAGGCGTAGGCAGATTAAAGCTAAGGTCATGGATAAAACTTTTGATATCACCAAGTACTGAGCTCCTATTTCCCTGAATGTTAATCTTCTTCCTACACCGTAAAATGATTGTCCCTTATACCCTTAGATTAGGTCACATTATAGAGTATGTATCAATTAGAGCTGTTTTGCAAAATCCCTCTAACTCACCATTCTGTTTGTTCATTTTTCTTCTCTACATCAGCTAGGTAGCAGCAATATGACATCTATTTGCCAAAGACCAAATTTATCCTGCCCAAAATGAAGTACTTAATTTAGGCCTCTATGTGCAGAGAACAGGAATAGACACATTTTCATGGCAATTCAGATCCTGTTCTGAGGTTAAAAACTTCCATTTAGTTTTAGAGTAAGAAGATGAATCTAGGACTTCATGTTTGACCAGTGCTGTTGATGTGTCCCTCTAGGATTTCTGTGTATTTTATTATCAGTCTCTAAAATCGAGTAAACTCTAAATGCATTTATCCAGGCAAAGTCATGGGCAAGGGAGGATAAACAGCCAAGGTGTTTATAGGTCTACTAACAAGTGAAAGAAAGAAAATAATCGATTGGGAACTTGCTATTTACCTACGCATGTAAATATTATTTCTCTTTGGGCTTTATTCTTACTCCCAGTTCCATAGCATGCAAATGCCTTGCAAGTAAAATGAGTCCGAGAGTCTCAAAGGCTTTGCCCTTTGCTATGGAAAGAACTCTTGTATTTATTTGTGTTCTGGGATTTTCTTTCTTTTTTTTTTTTTTTCTCCCAAGAGGCTGTTGCTTCATTGGGGTTGTAGTTTATTGTATTCTTTTTTATGGTGTGCATTTGATGGAAGGATTATTACAATGGTGCATATTAATCTTAATATAGTAAGGCTTTTTCTGAAATTAATGCCACCTTTGGTAAGAAGGATCTGATTCTGGATTCATCTGTTCTCTTCTAAAATGTTGTTCCATGTTTGGATCCTCTCCAGAGAGGACCTAAAAGCATGAGTTAAAAGGTGTTTCATCCTACATAGTTCACTGCCTCAGAGATGAGGGACTTTTCTGTTTCTCTCCCACCTGGGGGCTTCCAAATTATGGTGTCCCGTGATGTCCCAGCATTTCACCAGAGTGTCTGGCCGAGCTCACAGTATTTGTAATGCAAGTAAGGCTCTTAAGTAGTCCGATCTGATGGGAGCCTGGCAGTTGGCCACATTCCTCCTGCTCCCATCTTATCTATCCAGAGAGGAGGTAGGGTCCAATATGGTAATGCAACGACGCGGTTGGGAGCTCAAAGAGATGGTACTTGTGTAGTGTTCTGGGCCTTTTGTTTTTATTTCAATATGAAATGTTCCTAGGAAAAGTCTTTAAAAGCATAGTTCCCAGGTTAGATTTAAATTATTTTTCATCTGTACTCCTTTGGAATCTCATCTGAAAACCTTTTATCCCTTTACTTCCATTAATAAGAATGGAGATTGGAGTGGGGAAGCATCAGTTCCCACTCCCCCCAAACTAGTGATGAACCAGACTCTGAATGTCACTTGCCTTGCTGAAAGATCCCAGGGAGATATTAGTGGGAGATCAGAGCCCTAGAAAAGAGGAAAGGCTGGAAGAAGGGACATCTGCCCTAGTGCTTTCGGATGGTTTTAGTGCTTCTACAATTCTGGAGTAACTTCTGCTGTTTTCCTGGAAGCTAAACAAAACAGAAATTACAAACTGTTCAGCTAAAATCAGAGACTCACAACCAGCTCTGGTTTCCCCACAAATTGGAAGGGGTCTCAATTTTCATAAAGCAGCTGCTGCATATTGTGCTTTTGGCAGTTGGGTTTCATCAGCATTAATTGCAAGCTGGACCTTGCGCAAGGCAATAAACTGTGTTTACTCGCTAACCGGTTCCTTTCTGACAGGCAAGGATAGAGCAGAGATCTGTGCGTGTCACCAGACTTTGTTGCATGATCAGTCTTGGGAAGATACAACTGGGCTGACTAATGATATGGACAAAGGAGTAAGTTACCTGTGGAGGAGAGAAGCGTGTGAACGCGCGTTGTATTGCCTACCCCACAATACTGTGTGCGGGTACGCAACGGTGGGACTGTAAATACACATCATTCTCAGATGCTAAGCAATGCACTTCAAATTCACACTCTGGCTTATCCTGCAAATCCACTGTGCATTTGCACGTGTTCAAATTGGAGACCTTCATGTTCAGTATGGAAAGACAGGCTGGATGAGCTGAGTTGTATGGATATTGTACTATTTTGGGCTATGTCCCAGTATTCTGAAAGGGTTCTTCAAATTCATAGAAGTTTCCTAAGTCACCTGCTTTCACCTTGACTAGTCCATGTTTGAGATGGAGTGGAGTATTAAGTGTAGAGGGATTTGGATCATTGTTATGGGGTTATTTTTGGTGTAAGCTGTATAAAAATCATTGTTTCCATGCAAGATCTTCAAAATTCAGCTGTTTCAGCTGCCTTTCAACCTGGAAAGTCAAAGAGAAATATACAGGTGGAGGACAAATCCAGGCGAATTTAAACCAGATTATTGATTCTTGTATGAACCTCATTGAACTGTGAAATCACTGTGGTTCATATAGCTCTTTTCCAAAGCTTTGTTGACCATAGATTAGAGGACTTTCGGAGCCATGAATTGCAAGGCTTTTATGGACTGTGGATTACCAGGCTATCTCATACAGTCCCATGGAAATCTTAGGGTGTTTTTTTAAGCTACCAGCACAGAAACAAAGGAAATGAACACAGGAGAACAATCTTAAAGGAACATCAAAGGTTTGACTCCAACCTATAAAAGCCAGGAAATCCATAATTAATGGTTCCACTAAGACTTCAGCTCACACAGTCTTTCTGGTCTGCTCTGAGGTTATAGCTACAATCTGAAATGGTCTCATGAAAAATGAGTCATCATTTAATGTCACACATCATTATTAGTATTTACTTTCAGTTATGCCTTGGAGATTGTCCTTTCCTTTTTGTTCTGTCTTAACAGCTGAGGCATTTGAGTTGGCACCCCTGGGTGGACCGTGTTTAGACTTGTGTATTTGAAGGTTAGTACCGCTGTGGAGGATAAGGCTTCCGCTCTGTCTTCTCCCTGTCTCTGACAGTGCTAAGATTTGCTAATCTCCTGGGTAAACAGCTACACTGAACAGTTCAGTGAAGGCTATTAAAAAGGTAAAAAATGCTGATGAAATGTGTGGTTTCCTCTCCCTTCTGCCTCCTCCTTCCAAAATCTAAACAACATAAAGACGTCCTGCCTGGCTACAGTTTGTGTTTGAAATTATTTGTCAAAAATGAAATGGAGATTTCAAGTAGTTTGACATTTTTTTAACTATTTGATTTTGCAGAAATGTTCAGACCTGCAGTCTTTCTCTGGGAGGAATTTGGACTTAGACAAAACTAAAACACTAGCTAGCTCCTGTAGTTAAAGCCAGCTGGGGCAGAAGGGAGAGCAGGCAAAATCCTTGCGCCGGAAGGCTGCAGCCTGGAATACAGTGTGTTACTGTTCCTGTTGACACTGTGTTAGCTAAGCTTCCCCTTGTAATATATGTAATTAATTACAGATCATTCGCTGGAGTTTTATGATGAGCTGTTAAGTAAATTGTAAGAGTGGAGACATATCCATGACATTTCAGAGTAGTGAGTGAAGGCCAAATCTGTATCACATCTTAGTTCTGTTGGGCAAGCAGTTTAAGGGTACAAGCAAAAATAATCCAAAACAATAGAGAACCTCTCCCAAATGGAATGGGAGCATTGGAGCTCCCAAGGGCTCTACGGCAGGGGACAGGGGAAAAGCTCCTTGGGAAAAGAGGGAGGGGAGTTGGTAGTTGCGAGGGTATTTCAGGATGGGTGAGGTTTGGAAGGACCTTTGGCCTCTGTGGGATGTGAAAGAGAGAAATGAAGTGGTGAGAAGGAAGAATTAAAGAGGGCATAAGGGACAAACCTGGAAGGCACTAAGGGCACACAGAAGCTTTACTTGCGTCGAAAAGAGGTTCAAGGAGAAGAATTGTGATCAGAGAGGGAAAAAGAGATTCCTATCCCAGATTTAAGTTTGGCGGTGCAAAGCCTACCATTATTGGAAAATGAAATGAATTCCTCTAGTAATTGGAAGTGGCATTTCTCTGATAGTCTGGTGCTGACTATTCAACCTCAGATGAATGCAATAACATCACAAATATCGATTTCTTTTAGAAACAACAGTTGTTTTAGGCAAAAAAGTTTTGCCAGTGATGGATGAAGGGAGACAATGTGTAATAAACTACACAAAGTGTGCTGATATAGAGTGAACCTTATCAGTTTGGATGGAATTTA